ATGGGTGAGCGGGGAAGCACTGGAAAGTGGGGGTGGGGTTGGGCCATCATCCTTAGCACTTGGGGCCTGACTGTGTTTTGGAGGTGGCCCCAGGGCCCCAGCTGGGTGAGGCAGACGGCCTTTGGTAACACTGGACATTTTCATCTACCCCAAGGTGTACGGCACGATCCCAACATGAAGTATGAGCTGCAGCTGGCAAACCCCAAGGAGTTCTACCATGAGGTGCACAGGCCCTCCCACTTCCTCAACTTCGCCCTCCTGCAGGAGGGCGAGGTCTACTCTGCGGACCGGGAGGATCTCTACGCCTAGTTGTTCCCTCACCTCTCCTGCCTCAGACTCCCCAAAGGCTCTGGAGCCTTCTAACCCCACAGACAAGCTGGTGACATTCAGCAGCTTGGCCCCTTTTTCCTGTATTTTGTGCTTGTTGTATTGTTGACCTGGTGGCTTGTAATCCTAAACAGAGTATAATAAATTTTGTATAAATTGGAGTTTTTGAGGTTTTCTTTCCCCTGAGCTCAAATTCTGGGTGTAGGATTGCCAGAGGCTAGACTTGTTAACAGCAAAGTGCTGGGCTCTGCATTGAGGGGAGCAGAGGACCCCTATTCAGAGGCTGTGGGGCTAAATGTCCCCTAGACTCAGGGAACTGAGGTGCTGGGGTTGGGCTTTCACACTCCTACTACTTCACCACATTTGCCGGTTTTGCCCCAAAATGCTTGCAGATCATCACTCCTTGCTGCCATTTCCCGAGTCTGAAAGCTTGTGGCTTGTTCTCTGCTGCTCTGGTGCCCAGTCTAGCCCCTTAAGCTTTGTGTCACTCCTGACAGGGAAATAGGCACGTGGCTGGACTGTTGGCTGCCTCTGGCTGAGGTCAGTGGCAGCCCTCATACGCCCGTGTGTTAGGCAGCCAAGTGGGGCCCAATGACGCCAGACATGGGGGCGGAGCCTGGGTTGGGCACTGGGTAGGGCTTGACGAAAGTGACCACTTAAAGCCCTGGCCCTTGGCTTTTGGACGCCTAGTTGGAGGTTAGCTGTCCTGCCTCCTGTGACCTTGGGACTTGCAAAGGACAGGGCCCAGGGGACCCAGGGCGCTCTCTCCTCCCACGCTGTTTTCCTTACTCGCTCCTCCCCTGTCGCTTCTACCCCACCCTCTACTAACCTAAACTGCTTCCTGGGCGGGAACTGTTTGGCTTTTTCCTGCACCAGTGAGGGTTGGGGGAGTGACTCTCAGCCCTTGGCCTTCGGGGTATATGGAGCCCAGGAGAGCGGCGCCTGGGGAGCAGGGCTGGGGGTCTCCAGCGGCCACGGGGGTGGAGACGGTTGCGGAGCTCGTGTACCATCTAGCCGGGGCCCTGGGCACTGAGCTGAAGGAGCTAGCACGCCGCTTTGGGCCGGAGGCGGCGGCGGGGCTCGTTCCTCTCGTGGTGAGGGCGCTAGAGCTACTGGAAAAGGCTGCCGTGGGGCCCGCCCCCGACTCGGTGAGTCACTGTCCGCTCTCTCTGCCACCTGCGGGGCTGGCGGAGGCCTAACCCTGAGGGCTCGGACTCCCCAGCTGCAGGTGTCAGCGCTGCAGGCCGAACTGGAGCTGCAGCGTCTGCGGGAGGAGAACGAACACCTCCGCAGAGAGTTGCGCTGCGGTCCACAGGGTGAGTGTGGAGTGTGGCCCAGCCGGGGAATGGGGTGGGGGAGGCTCAGAGCCTACCTCCTGTGGGCTGCTGCTAAGACCACCCCTTCCTCAGAGGAGCGTGCTCTGCTGCGGCAGCTCAAGGAGGTGACCGACCGACAGCGGGACGAACTCCGGGCATACAACCGTGACTTGCTGCAGCGCAGCCAAGAGACTGAGGCCGTAAGGGCTCTGACGGCAACCGTGTGGGGCGGGGCTACCTCAGCGCCTCGCCCACCAGCCCTGTCCTTTGCCCACAGTTGCAGGAGCAGCTGCAGCGCCTCCTGCTGGTGAATGCAGAGTTGCGGCACAAGTTGGCCGCGGTGCAAACCCAGCTGCGCGCCGCATGGGACCGTGAGAGCGAGCGGGAGCTAAGGCGTGAAGGGGCCGTGGAGCTGGCTCAGCAGCGGACACGGGAACAGGCCGGGGGTCCTGGGTGCGAGCAGAGGCAGGAGCCCGAGCGGCTGACCGCCGAAGCAGGAGTCCCAGGGACCCAGAAGGACCCGGTCAGTGCCCACTGAGGTCAAGGGCCCTTCCCAGTACTGACAGCATCTGGTACCTGGGCACTCCCGAAAGGTTTAGTGTGCTGTGTAGCAGGTCCAGTGGGAAGTTGGAAGGTGGCACACAAGTATGTCCCCCACCCAGACCCTGTCCCACTCTCCTCTAGAGCACTGTCATCTATTGTAGCGCCGTTGCCTCCCAAGTCTCCCTGCCGGTCACTCCCTCTAGCATTCCTGTGACGACCCAGGGGCAGAGAAGCGCCAACCAAGGCAGCCCTCTGAGACCAAGCTGCCTTTTGCAGGAGGATGCCCCGCAGCAGCCATTGTGTCCCTCCAACGTGGAGCAGTGCGGCTTCAGTCGAGAGGAGCTTGAGCAGATCCTCCAGGAGCGGAATGAGCTCAAAACCAATGTGTTTCTGCTGAAGGAGGAGTTGGCCTACTTCCAGAGGTGAGGGCGCTGGGCAGGGGCTAGGAAGCTGAGGGACCCCAGTCACATCTGTTCCTGGGCCTCACTCAGGTTACCTGCCTCATTCTTTGGCTCAGTGACATGTGCCAGACACTGCTGGACACTGGGAGGACATGAATCACACAGCCCCTGCCCTCCTGGGACTTCACCCAAATGAGGGAGGGGCAGTACGAAGGGTCACTAGGAGCCTTGACACTTAAGCTAAGGTTTGGGGGCTGTTAATAAGGGTAAGTGTTTCAAAAAAAGGGTTCTGGGGTGTGAGACTCACTGCTGGCAACCTGGTCACTTTCCCCCTGCCCTTTCCTCTGCCCTGTAGGGAGCTGCTCACAGACCACAGGGTCCCTGGGCTCCTGCTGGAAGCCATGAAGGTGGCTGTCAGGAAGCAGCGGAAGAAGATCAAGGCCAAGATGTTAGGGACCCCAGAGGAAGCAGAGAGCAGGTAAGTCCCTACCTCCGTTCTAGCTGAACCAGCCCTCCCGCCGTCCTGCTGAGCCTGATGGCCCAGCCTGGTCGTGCTCTCGGCCTGCCTAGTGTCTCTCAAGTCTGCTGACCTACTCTGCACGCCCCCCCCCCCACCCCTTTAGCTGGCTAACCCAGCCTGGCTATCTTTTGAGTCTTTTGTCTCAGGCCAAACCTATCGCTGCAGACTAGTCACCCCTTGAACCTACCACTCTAGTCTAGCAGTGTTTGAACTCGCTAACCTGGCCTGGTTACCTCCTGAGCTTATTTTACAGCCTGCCCTGCAGAGTCTGTCGCTCCGGCCTGGTCACCCCCCCGAGCCTGCCGCCCTGAGCCTGCCACCCTTCTTCCTGGATCTCACTCGCCATGCTCACTATGCCTCCTGCTGAAGAGCCTTGCTAGTGCTGTCTCTCCTTGTTCATTTTTCGGTCCCCGTCCTGGTGGTGTCTGTCTGTTCTCAGAGGGGTAAGACTGTAGCTGTGGGGCCTCCGTAGAAAGCCAGTAGGACTGGCTTCCAAGAGCTTCTGGGTTGGTGAGCACAGGGCAATGAGGGGCTGATGATGGGCCTGAAGAGGGCATGGAAGCCCCGTGCCTTTCCCCCACACCGTGCCCTGTGCTTCTCTTTCGTCTGCCTGCTCCTGAGTTCTGTAATACATCGGTAATCTAGTAGAAAAAGAAAAAGACTGTAACTACAGCTTTGTCAGGGGCCCACTGTCCATCAGGCTATAAAATAAAAGTCTCAAGATATCCTTCATCTCCCCACTGTCTCCTCTCCAGACTTGGGGACTGTGTTGTCACTCTGTCTTCCCCTGCCTGCTCCTGGGGGCTGCACAGAAGGCTGGCCATAGCTGTACTCCCCTTGTCCCTTTTGGCCTTGGTCAGTGACCCTCACCACTTTTCTCTTTCCTCTACCTCAGTGACGATGAGGATGGCTCATGGCTCCTGCTCTCCAGCCACAAGGGAGACCACCCCCCGCCTCCCAACTCCAGAATACAGAGTTTGTATGTCGGGAGAGGAGGGAGGGCAAAAGTGGTGGTGGTGAAGAGGGGGCCCACCTTGTTCTTTTCAGAATCCCTGCCCTGCTGCCCTGGTGCTCACCCTGCTGCCCCGGGCTCTGAGCTCGCCCCTCCCCTTCTGAGTCTCTGACCCTGGCCCTTCACTTCCCCGCTACCTCATGCTGCCCTTGATTCCTTCTGTGTCCCCATTTCTCACCGTCCCCCGTCCTCAGCCCATATCCTTGATCTCTCTGGCATCCAGGCTCAGAGTACCTCTTGGCTCTCCCCCGCAGCTTTGGCCAGTGTTATCGGGGTGAAGCGGAGGCCCCTGAAGCCAAGAGCAGCAGCACAGCTCCCAGCGAGCCAGGGGGAGAAGGAGAGACCCCACACCAACCCCACTTGGGGCTTATGGGCAGCTCCTGACCGGCCTTGCTCTGCTCTCAATGAACGCCTTTGTCTGGGGGTCTCAGGTGCCCCAGAGGCCTGACTTTGGAGTCTGACTGTGGGTGGATGTGCGACCTCAAACGAGGACAGGGCTCCCTCCTTCCCAGCCCTCCCAGGCTCTTTCCCAGTCTTGGCCTGACTCAGGGCAGGGCTGGGAGCTCAGCCTTTCTTCCTTCCCTGTCTCTCTGAGCTAAGCCACAGTGGTCAGATAAAAGTGTTTCATCTCTTGAGTCTCGGTTTCCCCATCCATGAAATGGAGAACTGACTACCTACCTCCCAGAGATTTGTGCAGCTGGCCTAAGCTAATGTAATAAAGAAACTGCCCGTGATACCCAGAAACCGTTCCATGTCTGTCACTGGTCTGCCCCCCTCCACATCCACCCTGCTTGGCCAGGGGTGAGGGTGGGCCGAGGCCACGTCACAGGGTCCCCTTGGTCATCACTGGGTGGGGAGGCTTCTCCCAGCTTGGGCCTCACTGAGGATATGACCTAATGGGAAACTACAGCTGCCCCCCTCAACCCACCCCCTCGCTTGTTCCCAATACCCCATGGCTTACAGCTTCATCTTCCCCTCCAGATTGAAACCAGCCCCTTAAGCCTCCACTCTGCACTCTTGGCACTGGCCCTCGTTTCCCTTTCCTTTCTCTGGTATTGCCAGTCTCCCCAGCACCTTTGTGCCCACCCTCTCAGGGAGGTGCCTCTGGGTAGCCCGCCCCACCGGCCTGGTTTCCTCAGGAAAAGCCTTGGGAGGAAACAGGGAGGGGGTTGGGAGCTGTGGGGGCCAGACTGACTCCAACCCGCTTGCTGCGCTGGCCGCCATGGGGCCTCGGCTGCTGCTCCCACTGCTACTGCTCTGGACTCAGGGGACCCAGGGGTCTGAGCTGGACCCTAATGGGCAGCATGTCTGCAGGGCCAACAGGTGAATATTGTGGGAGTCTGATGGGGGTGGCCGAACTGGTGCTGAGGCCTGGGGGTAGGGGGGAGGAAGTGAGGGAAGAGGTCATGGGGCTGGAGGGAGGGAGACTTGGGAAGAGCCAGGGTGGGGGGTGGACAGGACAGGCTGGAAAGGCCAGGGAAGGAGAGGGAAGGGGTTGGGGTCAGTGGGGTTGTGACTCGCTGGCGCTAGGCCTGCCTGAGGGGGCGGAGGCAGCCTCCCACATCTCAGCCAGAGACAGTGGAGCACCTTTGAAACCAGGCCGCCCCCGGCTGACCCCTCTCTGCCCCACAGCCCCTCTGCTGAGCTCCAGTGCTGCCCAGGCTGGAGGCAGAAAGATCAAGAGTGCACCATTCGTGAGTAGCCAAGACCAACCCCCACCCCTCCTGGGGCCTATTTCCCCGCCTGAGCCCAGGAGCTAGGGTCCCTCCTGTGGCACACACACCCAGCCTGGGCGGGAACCAGGAGCCAGTGCGAGGGCAGAAGGTCCCCTGGTCGAGCCCCAGTCTTTTTGACCTGGGTGGGGTGTTTTTCAGCCATCTGCGAGGGGCCTGACGCCTGCCGGAAAGACGAAGTGTGCGTGAAACCAGGCCTCTGTCGATGCAGACCTGGATTCTTCGGGGCCCAGTGCAACTCCCGTGAGTCCTGAGTCTCGCCGGTGGGATGAGATTGCCGGGCAGGCCTAGGGAGCAGGGAGGCAAAGCAGGGAGGATCGCCACGACCTTAGAACAGCAGGGCCAGAGCCTCCCAAGCTGAGGAAATTGAGGCCCAGGGACAGGAAGTGACACTCCTGGGAGATGCCCTGACTCATCTGGTTTTTACTTGTATCACAATGCCCTATGCACAGTGTCAGTTCTGGGCCCTTCACTTTCCGTTTCAACTCAGAAAAGTTGGTAGAGATTCCTGTTAATTGCAAAATGGATGCATTCTTGGTCTCCCCCACATATATCTGTACATGTTGGGGGTGGGGGGGGTGGCAGGAGGGCCCTGGTCAGGCTGTCTGCCCTCTCTGGCAGAAATAAGGGCTTGGGAAAGGGGTTGGTGGGCAGGATAACCAGAGGGCAGCTGACAGGAAGAGGGGTTGAGAGGACACCCTGGGAGGGAATGCGGCTGCCTCTCCTGCCATCCAGATGGGCAGCATCCAGGCCTTCCCTGGGCCCAGCACACCTCCAGCGCAGTGGAGGATCCAGTGGGAGGGAGGAGGGGGCATGCCTGAAGGCCCCCCCACCCCCCACACACACTTCTGTGTGCTCTGGACAAGCCCCTTCCCCACTTGGGATCTTTAAATGTGTTGCGGGATGTGAAGCGGGGAGACTCGGTCACTGCTAAGGGCTTTTGTAGTTCAGAGTCTGGGGCAGGAAGTGAGCTTTGCTCCCGGAGGATATGATGCCAGATGTTCCAGGGGTCTGTTCCTGGCTCTTGGAGGATGGGCCTGGCGCCCCTCTTCATTGTGGGAGGGGACCCAGAGCCTGCATCCGTGCCAGTCCTGAGCCCACTGACCCCCTTCTGTCTCTCCCTACCCCCTCCCTTCCCTGCCCCGCAGGCTGCCCGGGCCAGTACTGGGGCCCCGACTGCCGCGAGAGCTGCGCCTGCTACCCCCATGGCCAGTGTGAGCCGGTCACTGGTGTGTGCCGCTGCCAGGCCAACCGCTGGGGCAGCCGCTGCGAGTTCGAGTGCTCTTGCAGCCCTCATGGGCGTTGCGACCCGAAGACCGGCGCCTGCTACTGCGAGCCCGGCTGGTGGTCGACCAAGTGCCACCACCGGTGCCAATGCAAAGTGGGGGTGCGCTGTGATCAGAACACCGGCTCCTGCCTGTGTGAGGCGGGCTGGTGGGGCCGCCGCTGCAGCTTCCCCTGCGATTGCAACGGCTCGCCTTGTGTGCAGGAGTCGGGCCGCTGCATCTGCCTGCCTGGCTGGTGGGGCCGCGAGTGCCGGCAGCAGTGCGAGTGCGTGCGCGGCAGCTGCAGCCCAGCCTCCGGCCAGTGCTCCTGTCCGCCCGGCTTCCGCGGCGCGCGCTGCGAGCTGCCCTGCCCGGCAGGCCGCTACGGGACGCAGTGCAGCCACCGGTGAGCCAGGCAGGCAGGCAGGCGGGGGCGAGGGGCACGGGGCGCAGTGGGAGAGAGGTGGAGGGAGTGAGAAGGGCAGGAGGGGGAAAGCGACGCGGTGCTCTCCACACCAACCTAAAAGGGCAAGATGGAAGCGGGGATAAAAGACTCTCAATGCCCCGAAGTCCGGCCTCCCGCTCACTCCCTTTTTATCCGATTACGGTTAACAGTAACAAAATACTAGTATAGCAGGCCATACTTAGAAACGGATAAAGGATGAATCACGAGACAAAATGATTGCATAGTCCCTTTGAGACGAAAGGACTTTCAAACTTTGACCAGCTCCGCTCACAATAATACGTTTTACGTCCCACCTAACACACACCCATGTATGTACACATACCACTGAAGTAAAAGCTTAACCAGACAGCACATTCATCTTTGCTACACATATATAATATGTGATTATAATATGCAATATACCCTATCTAATGCTTTCTAGTCTCTCTCCCCCGCCCCTTTTTACTGCTGGTTTGGAAATGCTACAGTGATTTTAGGAACTCCCGCTTCCCCCACTAATGAGTCTAATCCAAGCGCATGATTCCAAATAATTAAGGATCTGAGGGAGAAACTTCAAGTAACTGTTAAGGATCAATGAGAAATTAAGATGATAGGAACCTAATTGGAAAACTTGCTAAGAGAGTAAATCTTAAGTGTTCTCATCACAAGGGAAAAAAATTCTTTTTCTTTTTTCTTTTTTTGGTCTCTGTATGAGATAGTGGGTGTTAACCGTTTGTGGTGATCATTTCACGGCATCTGCAGGTCAGGTCACCGTGCCGTGCACCTTAAACTTGTACAGTGCTGTATGTCAGTTATGTCTCGATAAACCTGGGGGGAATTCTCAAAGATAAGATAAATTTGAAATTATAGTGGTGAAACAGACATTAAAATACTTTTATTCTCACGGATTTTCATGTTATGGGGTAGGAGATAGAATACTGGGTCCGGTCCCCGTCGGGGCGCTGTGGGCGGAGGGCGGGGGCAGAAGGGAGGCGAAGGTCTGGGGGGACATGGCTGCTCTGGCTGGGTTGGCAGCGCCTGGTGACCCTGGGACCCAGAGACCCAGGGAGGAACGAGTCCCGGAGTTGAGGGTTAGGAGGAGAGGCCTGGCACTCTCTAGAGTCTGAGGAGATAAGTGGTCCCGCCTCTTTGTAGCGCACTGCGGGGAAGCTGAGGCTCAGACCTGCCTCAGTGACTTCGCCGGGACCCGGGTGCTCTCCAGCGCCCCTGGAGGCCTGGGTGGGCACTCCACCCATTTGACCTGAGTGTTTCCTGTGAACTTCTCTTCCCAGCTGCGGCCACTGCAAGCAGAATGAGCCATGCTCTGCGGACACGGGCAGCTGCGAGTCCTGCGAGTCCGGCTGGAACGGGACCCAGTGCCTCCAGCCCTGCCCACCTGGCACCTTTGGCGAGAGCTGTGGGCAGCAGTGCCCCCACTGCCGGCTTGGGGAGACCTGTCAGGCAGACACTGGACACTGTCAGAGCTGTGACCCTGGCTGGCTGGGGCCCAGGTGAGGGACCCGCCTGCTCAGGGTGGGGTGCACCTTCCTTCAGGATCCTCACCCCAGTTGCTCCCTCTGGGATAGGTGTCCCCTCCCCCAAACACACACTCACACAGCCCTCTGGGGCCTGCCCCATGGCAGAGTGAGGGGAGAGAGATGGATGCTGATGTGGCCCTGGGCAGGTTCTCTTCCAGCTCCCTGCCACTGGGGCTGCCTGCCCTCTCCTCCCTCCCCTCCCTCCAGGGGTCTCTGGTCTGTCACCCGTTGGGTATGTTCCCAGCTTCAAGGTCCTCTTTGTATCCGAGCTTCACTGCTCAGTTGGGTTCCTGAGTCCAGCAGCATGGGGGCAGATGGGCAGCGCCCCATTCAAAGTCTTGCCTCACCTCAGGTGTGAAGACCCCTGTCCGAGCGGCACCTTTGGGGAGGGCTGTGGCTCAACCTGCCCCACCTGTGTCCAGGGGGCTTGTGATGCTGCGACTGGGGAATGCGTCTGCAACGCTGGCTACTGGGGACCCGGGTGAGGACTGGGGCCCTGGCAGAGAAGCAGGGGCCTAGGTCGGGCCTCTGTGAAATCTGTCTCTTTGCCTTCCTTTCCTGGGTGTCTCCAGCTCCCATGTACCCCCTCAGCATCATCATTACTGAGGAGCTGTCTTTCCTGTTGTGTGGTCTGCGTTTTCCAAAGGCGGGTCAGAGGAAGTAATGCTTCGTGTAGAAGGCCTGGCTCCTGGCCCAGCTGGGGAAGTTGTTTAGGGGTAGGGCTCCGAACCCCACTGTGGTTTCTTAAGGGCTTAAGGTAGGAAAACATAACCCATGTCAGTGTCTCCAGTGTCCAGTTTTCCAGCCATGGGATGGAATGTAGTATAACACAGAAGAGACCCCATTTTATAGAGGAGGGGACCAAGGCCTAGAGAGGTAGTGGCAGGGCGGGACCTGGCTCAGACCTCCAGGCCCCAAGGATGTCTATGCATGCCATTGGCATCTTGCTTAGTTCATACTGCAGCTGGGTGAGCAAGGGGTGAGCATCATAAGTGGACTCTGCCTGAAGATTACACCTGGGGCTGGATGCCACAGGACAGCTTGTGGGTGGTCTCTCTGGAAGATGGGTTTAGGGGCTGAGGGATTCTCCCAACACTGTCAGGGGTGCTGGGCATGTGGCTCAGAGGCAGGAGGGGTCTGCCAGGCACTATCCAGGGAGGTCTGCACGGCTGGAGTGGAGAGCGGTGCCCAGAAACCTGCCTGCCCCTGCCCCCTGCCCACCTCTGTCCCTTCTCACCCAGCCTTCAGCCTGTCTCTCCTTGTCACTCCACAGCTGCAATGTTTCCTGCCCATCTGGCTTCTATGGAAGCAACTGCTCTGTTCCCTGTGAATGCCCAGGGGGACCCTGCCACCCTGTCTCTGGGGCCTGCCAGCTGGGTAAGGTGGGAAGAAGGGTGCAGGTACAGTAACCAGGGAAAGATTGGCCCTTTACGTGGGCTCCAGAAGCTCATCATTTCCCAGGGAGGCTGAGCCCACTTCAGAGAGACATTTCCTATGCCTGAAATCTGTATGGATGCTTTGGGGTCCCCTGAAGATGTGACAGAGCCTCTGTTCCCTGGGAAACCAGGCTAGCACCCGGGAAATGAGCAGGTAGGGGGCTGGACACTGGGATGCGCATCAGTCGTGAGAACTAGGGGCAAGGACTTGAGGAACAGACCATGGACCATCAGAATGGGACAGACCAGCCGGGTGGCTGCCTGGAGGAGGGGGCCTCCAGGATAAGCAGAGTCTATGTCTCTCGGAAGACAGACCCACAGGTGGAAGACTCTGGGGAGGAGGCAGCTCAGCTAGAGATGTATGGGAGACAGGAAGGCCCTGAATATTTCACCGTTGTTCATCCCCACCCCGCCACCCTCTGCCCCAGGGCCTCACAGCCAGGATGCAGCCCTCATTGTTGGCATTCTCGTGCCTCTGCTGCTGCTCCTCCTTGGCTTTGCCTGCTGTGCCTGCTGCTGCTGGGCTGCCCGCTTGGACCCCAAGGACAGGTGAATGCTGGCTTTACTTTTACGGGTGGGGAAAGGCTGGCCTTGTCATACACTTAGGTCAGGATCGATGGGGTAGTGGGCAGTGGCCCTGGCCCGGAGACATCAGATCAACCGCTTGCCTTCCTCAGAAGCCTTGAGTGGGAGTCACATGAGCAGAAGCACCAGGCTGGGGAAACTCAAACCCACGGCACGAGGCTGAGGGTTTGCTAACCCACAGGGGCCAGAGGAGGAGGGTGTGAAGGCAAAAGCAGCAGGCAGCTCTGGGCAGGGAGCAGAAGAGACCGGGCCTCACCCCCCAAAAGGAGAGTGACGGGCAAGTCGGAGCAGTGGGTGAGCAGAGAACGTGGCTTTCCCGGAGAGGAAGAGGAAGGGTTTGGGCTCGAGGCCTGCTAGAGACTGTTGCTCCCAAGGGGTTTGTCTCTTCATAAAATCTCATCACATTTCTCTGCTCCTTGGAGACTCACTGCAGCACGGAGGTTGGGAGCAGGGGGTGTGGGGACCAGAGGATTAGCAGAGGACGGAAGACACTGATAAGGTGACTCAGCTGGTCACTGGCGTGCTCAAAGCTTGGGCCCTGTGTTCTGGACTCCTTGTCTGGTGCTCTCTCACAGTTCATGCACTAACCCTTGAGTATGTCCTCCCATGTGCTGACGTAGTAGCCTGTCCCCTGGGGCACAGAGCCTGGCAGGGAAGGGGCCCCTCACATGAGGGCCAGGACATGTGCAAAGGCTGTCGGGGGACGGGTGAGGAACAAAGCAGGCACTTCCAGTGTCGGGGTGAGGCCAAGGGCAGGCTTTCTGGAGGTGCTGTCACTTCCAGAAAGCCAAGTGAGCTGGGATTCAGCTGGGGTGATGACAGCACATAGCTGCATTTTGGGGAACCCCACCTGGTGCCTGGTGCTGTGTGGGGTCCTGAAAGAAGCTCTGATAGATTGTAGTCCCCATTTTACAGGTGAGGTAACTGAGGCCCGGAAAGAGGTAAAGTTTGAGCAGAGTTTCTGTGCCAGGTCCGTTGGACTTTAGAGCCACGCTGCCCTCCGTGGCAGGCCCAAATCTCCGGCTGGTTGAGGGACTAGGGCTGTCCTGGCCCTTTTCTCCTGCTACCATCCTACCCCAACCAGGGGTCTCACACACCGACCACCCTCCTCAGGGCAGCGAGAGATGGAGCTGCTGTGTCCAGGATGAAGCTCCAGGTCTGGGGGGCGCTGACCAGCCTGGGCTCCACACTGCCCTGCAGTTCCCTCAGCAGCCACAAGCTTCCCTGGGTGACAGGTAGGTGGGCACTGAGGGTCGGGGGCTGGAATGGGACAAGGCTTCCCATCAGGCCCTGCACCTGACCCGGCTCCCCCTGCAGTCTCCCACCACGACCCGGAGATCCCCTTCAACCACAGCTTCATTGAGCCGCCCTCTGCCGGCTGGGCCTCGGACGACTCCTTCTCTTCTGATTCCGCGTCTGGAGAGGAGGATGAGGGTCCTGCCTACTGTGTGCCACCCCAAGAAGGTAGCCCCCCTCCAGCCCCCTGGGTCACCTTCCAATCCTGCTTGGGTGTCTGGGAATCCTTCTGACCCCTTTGTCCTATAGAAATAACCACCCCTTACTTCTATAAGTTCTCCAAACTTCTATTGTGGTATACAAAATGGAAACAAGATAGATTCCTGTCCTTACCCAATTTCTAGTCTGGAGGGTGGTCATCGGACACTTACAGGACCGAGTGGCACGCGCTTGGATGGAGGACGTGCAAGGAAGGGCTGTAATCCAGTCGGGTCGGGGCAGACTGAGGTCCGGGAAGATGTCTCAGTGCTCGTGATATTGGAGTCGAGTCTAGCAAAATTAGGAGTTAGCCCAGTGACAGGGAGAGGTGGCCATGGTGTTTCAGGAAGAGGGACCAGTGCACAGACACAAAGGCCCAGAGGTGAGAGGAGCTGGTTAGAGTATGGCTTTAGGTCAGAGTAGGGAAGGAGGGAGGGGGGAAAAGAGTGTAGAAGAAGTAGTGTCTGTTGGGTCCACCCTGCCCTGACTCTTTGCATCCTTATCCCCTACCCTGCCCCATTTTTGAGGCCTCCCAGAAGATACTGACCTGAGTAAGCCAGATGGGACGGGGTGGCCAACCCGTTAGCTTTGGCCAAGCTCTTCTGTCTCCTCTGCCAGGAATAGTCCCTGTGGCCCAAGCAGAGTCGCCAGAGGCCAGCCTGGTTGGAGGTCCCTTCCCTCTCCCTGAGGATGCCTCCACACCATTCGCCATCCCGCGCACCTCCAGCCTAGCACGGGCCAAGCGACCATCAGTCTCTTTTGCTGAAGGGACGAAGTTTGCACCGCAGAGTTGCCGGAGCTCAGGGGAGCTCTCCAGCCCGCTCAGAAAGCCCAAGCGGCTCTCCCGGGGGACCCAGCCAGGTCCTGAAAACCAGGAGGCTGAGGAATCCACAGGCCCTGAGCTAGCAGATGGGGACAAAGCGCCTCCTGGAGCTGCCAGCCCCAGGGATTCAGCCAGTGGGCACCGCCGGCTTCCATTTGGTGGCCGGACAGTGGCTGAGCGTGTGGAAGCCATTGAAGGCAGCGTCCAGGAAAGCTCAGGCTCCATAACCACGATCTACATGCTGGCAGGGACGCCCCAGGAATCTGAGGGCCCAGTCCGGTCTGTCCTCCGCCGTTTTGGTAGCTTCCAGAAAGGCCAGGCAGGGCCCAAGATCAAGAGTGCCATCCCCAAGCCTCCACGTCGGGCACTGAGCCGGAACAAGGGCAGCTCCGGGGTGGCCTCTGGCTCTGCCACTCAGAGCCCTGGCTCAGCCACAAATGAGGAGCTCGCTGGGGCTTTGGAGTCTGCAGGAACCGGGCCAGAAGTGTCCAGAGGACCGAGGGATGGCATCAAGAGCTCAGGGAGGGTCCAGGAGCCAGCCCCCGAGGGTGGTCCCCCAGAACAGGAGCCCCAGAAGCTGGCTGATGAGGAAGGGCAGGAGGAGCCCCAGTATGAGAATGTTGCACCCATCTCTGGACCACCAGAGCCCTGAGGACCGTGAATTTGGGGAGTGGGAAGACTGGATAGGGGGCTAGGCATCCAAACTGCCCTTGCATCAGACTGTTTTGTGCTGAAAAAAGGCCCCAGGGCCAGGACAGGCCCTCCGCCCGTCTGCGGGGAAGTGTCCGAGGTGGAGGCCAGCTGGCTGTGGGCCCTGGCAGCGCTCCGGGGATGGTCTGGAAAGCCTGGGCAGAGACCCTGTGGGACGGGGTCAGGAAGGGGAAGACAGGGGCTTTTTCTCTGCTGTCCTGGACTCTGTTTGCCCCAAAAGGCGATGCTTTCCTTCATTTGCAAAATATCTTTCTGAAATGGGAAACAACCTAAATATTTGAAGACTGGTTAAAGGTTTTTTCTTAACGATAGGTTCTTAACCAGCCATGAAAAATTATGTTGTGCGAGAATACTCAGTATGGCGGGGGGGGTCTGTGCTATACCATTACGTGTAAAACTAAGTGTTCTTTTTACAAATTACATTTCTTTTTGTGTCAGGATACATGTTTAGAATTCTTATTTTTGTGTATATTTTGTGATTGTTTTACAAACTTTTTTTAAAAGGATGTAAGCATATAGTTTCAAAGGAAAGGTGTCAGTCAAATGACATTTTTCTCTCAGATGAGATTGATCTTTTTAAACTTTTGTATAATTTGCAAATGTTTTTACTTTCTCACTAGATTTTTTAAAAAAGCAATATTCTTTGTTAAAAATAAATAGGACTAACATCACAGACATGTATGAAGTAAAAATAAGATTTCCCTCCTCCCCAGAGGAGGCTGGGGCACCAGGGAGGGGCCAGATTCATTTTCCACAGAATGCCTCTGGTCTCGTTCCGAGCCCTCTCCATCCATCCTCGTGTTGCCTCGTCAGGGAATGAGCGCAGCTCCCCCGCTGTCACGGTGCTCAGTGTCTCATGAACAGCTCTGATGCTTCCTTTCAGATGTTTCTTTGTGCACATGAAGACAGAAGAGCGTACTGCTCTGTGATTTGCTCTTTTACTTAATACAATACATCCTGGGTATCTTTTGGTGTCAGTAAACATACAGCTACCTCTTTTTACAAAAGATGGCTACGTGAGATTCCATCATGTGGAAATAACAGGTTATTTAAACTGTCCCTACATATGGGGACTTGGGTTGTTTCTAATGGTTCTGATACAATAAATGATGAAGCATACAACTTTGTCCATATTTCTTCTTATATTTGTGCAAGTTTTTCTGTGCAAGAGATTCCTGGGAGTGGAACTGCTGAGTTATGGAGTGAGAACAGTAAACATTTGTGTACTTATTCCAAATTGTCCTCCAAAAAAGTTGGTTTTCATATTCTCATATATTATGGGGATATCTATTTCCTTACACCTCATCTGATAAGTTTAAAATGGTATCTCATTATTTTAGGGCAATAAAAATAAAATAACAAGTCAAAACTTTTTTTCATAGATAAGTCATTTAAAAAAATATATACTTTATTTTTAGAGAGAGGGAAAAGGAAGGAGAAAGAGAGGGAGAGAAACATCAATGTGTGGTTGCCTCCCGCATGCCCCCCAATGGGGACCCAGCCTGCAACCCCTGAATGTACCCTGACTGGGAGTTGAACCAGTGACACTTTGCTTCATTGGCCAGCATTCAATCTACTGAGCCACACCAGCCAGGGCAGATAAGAGTCATTTTTATTGAGAACTATAGTTTTAGGAAAAGTTAAAATTTAAAAAAAAATTAAAATGTTTGATCAGATAATTTTTTTTTTTTTTTTACTTTTTAAGCAAAAGATAGTATCATTAAAATCTGAATTTTGAGTGTGTTACTTACCTTGACTCTTAGCTCATCGGGGACAGTAATGGCTCACCCACATCCACGTTGGCCAGGCTGGTGTTCAGATCGGCAGTGCATGCTGGGAGCTCTACTGCCTGGAACACGACATCCAGTTCGATGGCCAGATGACAAATGACAAGATGATCGTCAGGGGAGAGATGATTCCACATCTTCAGTGAGACAGGCGCTGGCAAGCAAGTGCCCCAGGCGGTGTTTGTAGACCTGGAATCCAGTCATTAATGAGTTCGCACCAGTGCCTGCCACCAGCTTTTCCACCCTCAGCAGCTCAGCACAGGCAAGGAAGATGCTGCCCAATAACTACGCCTGTGGACACTACACCATTGGCAAGGCGATCATTATCCTCGTGTTGGACTGAGTTTGGAAAATGCCTGACCAGTGCACAGGTCTTCAGGGCTTCTTAGTTTTCCAGTTTGGGAGAACTGGTTCTGGGTTCTCTCCCCTGCTGATGGAATGTCTGTCTATTATGGCAAGAAGACCATGCTGGAGTTCTCCATTTACCCAGCCACCCTGGTTTCCACAGCTGTAGTGAAGCCCTACAACTCCATCCTCACCACCCACACCACCCTGGAGCACTCTGATTGTGCCTTCATGGTTGACAATGAGGCTATCTATGACATCTATCCTAGAAACCTTGATATTGAGAGCCCAACCCACACTACCCTTCACCGCCTTATTAGCAAAATTGTGTTCTCCATCACTGCTTTCCTCAGGTTTGACGGAGCCCTGAATGTCGATGGACTGAGTTCTAGACCACCCCGGTGCCCTATCCCCACATCCACTTCCCTCTGGCCACATACACCCGTCACCTCTGCTGAGGAAGCCTACCGTGAACAGCTTTCTGTAAGAGATCACCAATGTGTGCTTTGAGCCAGCCAACCAGATGAAGTGCAATCCTTGCTATAGTAAATACCTGGTTTGCTGCCTGTTGTACCGTGGTGACGCAGTTCCCGAAGATGTCAATGCTGCCATTGCCACCATCAAGGTCAAGCACAGCATCCAGTGTGTGGACTGGTGCCCCACTGGCTTCAAAGTTGGCATTAATTACCAGCTTGCCCCTGTGGTATCTGGTGGAGACCTGGCCAAAGCACAATGAGCTGTGTGCGTGCTGAGCAACAACACAGCCATTGCTGAGGCCTGGGCTCGCCTGGCTCACACGGTTGACCTAATGTATGCCGAGCGTGCCTTTGTCCACAGGCATGTGGGTGAGGGCATGGAGGAGGCAGAGTTTTCTGAGGCTTGTGAAGACATGGTTGCCCTTGAGGATTAGGAGGGTGGTGTGGATTCTGTTGAGGGTGAGGAAAAGGATACTAATCACCATTCCCTTCAGCCCTGCAACATGTCACACTCAGAACTTCAGGTTCAACAGCTGACAGGTGTTAAAGCTTTCTGGTAAGATTTTCTTCACGTTTACCTGTGATAACGTCTTTTTCATGTGTACCTATACGATTTCCCCCACGTTTCAAACTAAAGGCATTGAGAAAGAATAAAAAACCTGAATTCCTATGATTATTCTAAGATTGAGCTTCTTTATATATATTATTTGCTTTCCTCAATTTTCAATGAGGTGTTCAACTTTTTCTCGTTGATATATTTCAGGGATATTAAAGATATTTAATACAATCAGTGAACGAAGAAAATGGAAAGTATTGTGGAGTGGTTAGGGAAGGCTTCCTGGAGGAGCTGTCCAAAAAGGGACCTGAAGGCCAAAGGTGAGAGAAAAGCACGTGCAACCACAAGCAATTCCATAAGCCTGGAGGATCTAGGACCAGGCAGGCCCACCAACCTCTATGGAAAAAGATGCGGGTGGGGAGGGAGGAGCCCGTGTGGGTCAGGTTGGAAAACTTGAACTTTATCCTTCAAGACAAATGGTAAAGAGTTTCTGATCAATTGTAGCAGAGGTCAGATTTACATTTTCCATAGCTCCATTGGAATGGGGTGGAGTGGAGAGAATGGTTTCCAGGGGCTGAGACTGGAGGAGGGATGAACAGATAAGCAAATTAGGAGATATGGCTGTAATCGGTGGGGTGCGGTGGAGAGGAAAAATAACAGCAGATGTTGACAGGATGGTTCATGGTCTCTAACTTCAGTAGGTAATACTGTTAGTATCTCAGAAAGAATGGGAGGAAGTTTTGGAGAGAGCAATTTGAGAGATGTGTTTGAAACAGTTGAGATGTGTATGAAGAGCTGCCCGCAGACAGCCCTCAAGCAGGTGGCCTACTAGGACACTGGAGGGAAGGCAAAGAGTTTGTCAAGTGGTGGTCGCAATCTTGTGAGTGGGCTAGACTCTGCATGGTGGTGGGAATGGAATAGGTAACCAGCAAGGATCCCCCAGGCCGACAGAGGCGGACATGGACTGAACGAGCGTGCGGCTTCACGGCGGCAGGGGGCGCACTGGAACTGGAGAACGTGGAATAGGGGAGAGGATGCTCGGGCTCCCACAGCCCTGGGATGATAAGCGAGCTCCAAGAGCATGCCAAGGAGACCAAGCTCAATTTGGGGAATACCGAGGGTCCTCCGAGGTCAGGCTAGTTCCTCCAATCAGGAAGGCGAAGCCGGGCAGCTATACCTCCAGAGCCTGGGCTCCATACACCTACCCGGCCAGTTCCTTCAAGGAGATCCAGCTGGCTTATCCGGCTGGGAGCTGGAGCCCTCCCGACTCCACGCATTCTCCCGGAAGCCTGACTTGTCTTTGCAGCTTGGCGTTGCCCACCGCGTCACCCTGAAGAGGCACTTACCTGAGGGAGATGCCCAGGAATGGGGTGAAGGACCAGCAGGGGAGTGGGTGTAGGATAGTCAACCCGGGCATGGTTCCCGAGGGTACCATGGGCAGTGAATCAGAGTCTGGATGGGGTAGCGGGACACAGGGTGCTAGGGGAAAGAAAAGCCCCAAACTCCCTTCTGGGGATCCTCGATGAACACGTCCCGGTAACCGGGCAGATAGCACCCAGAAACGGAGTCGGTGAATCAGTAAAGTAAGGAAGAGGCACACCACGCCTGAACTGGGGTCTGGAGAACCGAGTAAGCAGACATCTCCTGGATGGAGGACATTAGGAGCAGGGAAGCGAGGAACCAGAATGGCAGCGTAGTGGGGAGGAGGCACTGGAGGGGGCGTGAGAGGAACGACCCACAGGGAGCCAGAACATCGAGGCTTGGTGCCCAGGGCCGAGGGGAGACGGGGGACTCTATCGGGCCGGAGAGCGTAGTGCAGAAACCGAGCTGGGTGGACTAGGGGAACGGGAGAGCAGCTAGGGAAATCTGGGGGACGCCGAGATGACGAACCCGAACCCAACCTGGCTCATAGCTTCGGAGTGGAACTCCCGAGAGGCAAAAGGACAATGCCTTCAAAGGCTCCGGCCAGGCTGTGGCTACAGTTTAAAGTAGTGAGGCACGGCTTCTGCACCAGGTTCCCCCGGCACCCTGAGCTCTCTTGTTTGTCTCAAAGTCCGGCCGGAACCGGCTTTTGCTAGCCACGGGGCGGGCGTGTGCCCGCTCATTGGCCAACGCCTGTTTCCAGCCCCTACTAGGCCAATCAGCGTGCAGCAGTGTTTTCATCTTGGGGTCCTAATAAAAGGGCTGGGATAAAAGGGGACAGAAAAAGCGCCGGCCGGGCCCGACACACATCAGTAGGAGCCGGGTGAGCTGCATCCTGGGAATCTGGGCCTCGGGTGAGGGTGCGGGGGTGGGGGCGTAGAGAGACGATGTGTGAATAGAAAAAGAAAGACTGGGTAGATGAGGAGCTGCCAGTAGATATGACGAGTTGAAGAAGAACAAAGAAATAGAAGGACGGGGCTCTGCTTCCATCGAAGCAGGAAAATTACCTGGGAAGCCACCCAGGATGAGGGTCGCGCAGGTGGCTCGCGCCGCCGGTTTGAACCGGCTTCGCCTCGCCCATGCGGGGTTCGCGTGGCCGCGGCGCCTAGCGACCTACACAGCGGCCAATGGAGCGGCAGTTCCTGTGCCATCAGGCCAATCAGTGAGCCCTAGGCGGACCGAACGGAGCTCGGTGCGCTGATCTTCTGGTTGAAGAAACCAGCTCTGGGGAAGGGTCTCCGGCGCGGGCGGGAGGGCGCCTATCAGGTTCCGAGCCAGTAGTGGCTCTCAGGTATGCCCCTGCCCAGGTGTCGGAATCTCACGGTGCTACTCTTGCAGACCCCCAAGCTCTGTCAGTACTGTTTGGAGCCAGGACTAATTCCACGTCCCTGAGCAAGCATTAGTCCCTTCCTTCTAGCGTACCTCAGTTTACCTCTGAGTGAGCTGAGCGAGAAGTCTTCCTGCCTGGCCCGAGCGGCTCTCCAGCGTGGAGAGCAATCATACAAAGCAGCCGTGGTGGGTGGCCCAGGCCCCGGGCAAGGCTGGGACTTGCTTCGCTTCACGCACCTGCAGTCCGGGCCGCGGAGGGGTAAGAACCTGTGCGCTGCCGCAGCGGCGGAGCTTGGCGGCTCCGACTGGGCAGGGCCGGGTGCTGACGCCGAGGTCTGTGCGCAGGTGGCTGCAGAGCCGGAGCCGAGCCACCTAGCCGCGTCATGGCGCCCACCCTCGCCACTGCCCATCGGCGCCGCTGGTGGATGGCCTGCACAGCCGTGTTGGAAAACCTCCTCTTTTCGGCAGTCCTCCTGGGCTGGGGCTCGCTGCTCATCATGCTCAAGTCGGAAGGCTTTTACTCCTACCTGTGTACTGATCCAGGTGAGACGGGCGCGTTGGGTTCGGTCGAGGTGGTTCCTGAGTGGGGGCTCTTGGATAGGGCAAGATCGCGGTGCAGACCTAACTGGCAGTACTGCCTCGCTGCACAGCGCCTCCCAGTTAGCAAAAGCCCCATTTGATGCTCACCCAGCTCTACTAGGTACATATCAATGTCCCTGTTTTATGGACAAAGAAACTGAGGCTCAGAGATATTCTGACTTGCCCAAGGCCACACAGCTGGGGACTGTAATAGTAATAGATCCAGAACCCCGAGTCCAGGGTGTTCTTTCCACTACCTGGGAACATTGCTGGTCGCTTCTCCTCCCAGTGCTTAGCACATCACTTGCCTTGGAGTAAGTGTGTCACTCCCTCACTGTATAAAAAGGAACTCCTGACTCAGTGGCTGGGGTGTAGCAAGAGAAAGGAAGTGGTTTGGTCTCCACCCCATGGAAGGTTCATCTAGACTCTAGATGTTTTTTAGCAGACCATTATGGAGAGTTTTAAGGGCCCATCAGATACAATTTCTTGTCTATTTTTGCTCCTTTATGATTTTCCAAAAGACATTATGTTCCACAAGGTGTGAGAGCATCTTAGTGGCCTTCTACCCCCATGAGGGGATGAGAAGAGAGGCAAGGGGGACATTTGTGGAAATGACACTAGGTCTGTCCTTTCCCTTTGCCACACCATTGGTGGTTTGAGTGCAGGCTGAGGATGCTGGTCTGCAGGAAACCCAATCCACATTCCTGTCTTCACATTTCTTAGCTCCATTTGAAGATCCTAATTGTTGCACATTGGTAGGTTCAGCCCAACAGTGGGACTTAGGTGGCTTCCAGCTTCTACCCTCGTGCCCCCTTCCTAGGCAACCTTGATGGGAAACATTTCCCTCTGTCCTCTTGCTGTCTGCAACAGTTCAGCCTAACAGTTGAGCTCTGTAGTGCCTCTCTCCAGTTCCTTTTTGTCAGCCAGCCCCTGCCTGAGTCCCTTTAGATGGAGATAGCCCAAGCCTGACCCCCTGATCATACCACCAGCATGCCTTTTCTTTCTCTGATCTTCCCAGGATATTCCTGAGTGTGCCAGTCTCCAGGGAAGCCTAGTGGAGAGATTAGATTAAGGGCAGGAGAAAGGGAGTTCATGCACGTGCCCCTGGGTGAGGGCGGAGAATATATCATGTAGAACCTTTAGCCTTTAGCCACTCAGAAATATTTCCTAATAGCCTAAGGGTTCTTGGCAGACCTTTCCCCATGTCAGCAAGAAATCTTGGGCGATGAGAAAGTCACTCAGACCTTGTTCCTTAAACAAGCTTTCTGTTCTGCCCAAGAGATGGTGGATTAATGACTTTCTGGAAGGAACAGGTTGGGGTATTTGGCTCCTCCTCTCCTTCCCTCTCCCCTCCCTTTGAGATCATGACCCTTCCTGCTTGCTTCCTTGGCCTCTTAGGCATTTTAATAGCAAGTTTAAAAAGCAGAAAGAAACCTGATCATCCCCAGATGAAGCTTTCTAGCATCTTGTCCACACTGAAGGACTGCTGTATTCAATTTTTTTGACCCTCTTGGTATTGGAAGGTTAGATTTTGCAGTTCTTCCCAAGTTTGTCCACTGGTTTAATTTATTTGATGGTATCAGCAGCTTTGGGGCCAGTCACTTCATTCCTGTCTCAACCTTGGCTTCTTCCTTCGTTTAAGTGGGAGGAGTTAGAGAGATCATGCCAACCCAGTGCTGAGTTGGTATTTAAGCTCTCAAGGCTCAACTAGTCCCCCCAATAACTCAAAGTGAAGGTGAAGGGTTAGGGTGTGGGTTGAACATCAACTTCTTATCCCTTGCCTTTGCTCCTTCTTCTGATTTTGGTTTTTCTGACTCTCCTGTAAACCCACTGACTCAGCATCCTGGGCGGACAGGCCTGCTGATTCTACACAGCTTATCTCTCTGGCTTCTTGAAGTCCAAGTAGCCTGTCCAAGTAGCCTGTCGCTGTTCAGGGCCAGGAATCCTCGTGCCTTGCCTGACTGGGAGTGACTGGAGGATTCAGGGTCAAGGTTTCTGCTGAGGTGAAATATTTTCAGACTTGGTGGATAGTTGAATCACAGAGGAGCAGTCAAGCCATTTGCTGAATTTATTAAATTAGACTTGTGAAAAGCTGACCAGCTTCCAGCTGATTGAGATGCAAATTTGTCACTTTTTGTTGCTTTTAGAACTGATGCTCTTTGGTTTGTTCTCTAAAGAAAATCTGAACCTGTTGAAAAGTTCTCAGAACTCTTTCTTGGGACTCCAGCCAGAATCTGGCCACAGACACAGTGCCAGGTTCCAGCTCGGTGAGGTGGGAGGAGGGAAGAAAGAGCCCCTTTCTCTATTGCTCCTGAGCTCTTTTTGCCCGGCCTGTGGGACAGTCAGGATTGATGACAGGGGCCAGGGATGGGCATCTGGGCTTTGCCTCCCCAGTCCAGTCCCCCTGGTGTGGACAGGCGGCTGATTGGGCTCCCAGCCCAGGAGGAAGGGAGCTTTTCCAGTACTGTGTCCTTTGGCCTCCAGGTGACCGCTGTAACCACCCACACCTAACCCCTTTCTCTGTTTTCTCTGCCATCCGGGGGCCGCTTCAGCAGGGTCAGCTCAGAGGGCTGGCGCTATCTGTGGCTGTTTTATCTCCTCTGTCATGTAACCTGCGCAGACATCATTGAGGTGCTGTCCTGGGGTGCAGAGCAGTCCTGGCCCTCAGGGAATCCGCAGTCTGCCAGCATCAATTGAGTCACCACACACAGACCTCTATAATTTCACATGGTGGTCAGCACGCCAACAGAGAGCAGGGTGCCTGGACTGAGAGTGATGGTGGGGATCTGATCAACTTGGGTGGGAGGGCCTCTCTGATGTTTGGGCAGAAGTATAGAGGGTGAGGCGGGGGTGAGTCAGGAGAGAAGGGGGCAAGGAGCCCCAAGGTGGGCTGCATATTGGAGAAGAGGGGAGAATGGACTGAGGGGTGGGAAGGGCCCTGGGCCTGCAGGGTGGAGGAGGCTGCTTGGGGAGACTGGATTTTATTCTCAACGGAAGAAGGAGTGAAGGAGGCAAGAGGGGGAGATTGGTTTCATCTCTTTACACTTAGTGACTTGGTGAAGGCTTGTCCATGCTGGGTGGGGTGGGGGCGGAGAAGATGAGAGACAAGGGTTTTGCCTGAGGAAGTCACAGTCCAGCCCAGCCAGACACGGAGACAGGCCCTAGGTCTGTGCTCTGGATCACTGCAGCTGCGGTGCTGGGGGAGAGCCCACTTGGTATTGGAAGGTTAGATTTTATGGTTCTGCTGAAACAAAGCAGGAAGTTGCCCTTGAGGTTCTGAGAGGGCACAGGGGTTATTGTCAGCCAGGGAAGCCCCACCAGGCCTGGTCCCCACTAGGCTGGGCTGAGGCTACAGATGTGGACGGGAGACATTCATGTGACTTTGAGGTTCTCCTTGATTGATTGATTGATTGATTGATTGGCTGATTTGATTTAATCTTTATTGCATTTTTTAAAAAACATGTATTTATTTATTTTTAGAGAGAGGGAAAGGAAGGAAGAAACATCAACGTGCGGTTGCCTCTTGTGTGCCCCCAACCAGGGACCTGGCCCACAACCCAGGCACATGCCCTGACTGGGAATAGAACCTGTGACCCTTTGGTTCACAGGCTGGCACTCAATCCACTGAGCCACACCAGCCAGGACTAATTTAATCTTTTTTCTATTTTTTTCCATTACCATTTAGTTCCCTTATACCCCTTCTCCCTAATTTTTTTACTTTTTAAAAAACTTTTTAAAATATTTTATTTATTTATTTTTAGAGGGGGGGAAGGGAGGGAGAACGAGAGGGAGGGCAACATCAATTGTTGTGTGGTTGCCTCTCACAGGCCCCCACTGTGGACCTGGCTCACAACCCAGGCATGTGCTGTGACTGGGAATTGGACTGGTGACCTTTTGCTTTGCAGTCTGACTGAGCCACACCAGCCAGGGCTAATTATTTTTATTTCTATTGACTTTATTGGGGTGACATTGGTTAATAAAATTCTATAGGTTTCAGGTGTACAATTCTGTAATACATCATCTGTATTGTATTGTGTTATATTGTGTCCACCACCCCAAGTTCAGTCTCCTTCCATCACCATTTATCCCTCCTTTACCCTCTTCTACTCCCCCACCCCCCTTTCCGCCTGCTAATCACCATACTGTTGTCTGTGTCTATGACTTTGTTTTTTTTTTACCTAGCTCCCCAACCTCCCTTTCCTCTGATAGCTATCAGTATGTTCTCTGTGTCTATGAGTCTGTCTCTATGTTGTTTTTTAGTTTATTTGGTTCATTAGATTCTACATGTAAGTGAAATCATATGGTTTTTGTCTTTCTCTGACTGGCATATTTCACTCAGCATAATATTCTCCAGGTCTGTCCATGCTGTGGCAAAAGGTAACATTTCCTTCTTTCGCACAGCAGAGTAGCATTCCACTGTGTAAAATGTACCACAGCTTTTTTTATCCACTCATGTACTGGTGGGTGGCACTTGGGCTGCTTCCAAATCTTGGCTACTGTAAATAATGCTACAGTGAACATAGGGGTGCATGTATTCTTTCAAATTAATGTTTCGGGTTTCTTTGGCTCTATTACCAGAGTAGAATCTCTGGGTCATAAGGCAGATCCATTTTTAGTTTTTTGAGGTAACCTCATACTGTTTTACCACAGTGACTACAACAGTCTGCATTCCCAGAGGAAGTTCCCCTTTCTCCACATCCTTTCCAACACTTGTTTGCTGATTTATTGGTGATGGCCATTCTGACATGTGTGAGGTGATATCTCATTGTGGTTAGATTTCTCTGATGATTAGTGGTGTTGAACATTTTTTCATATGTCTGTTGGCCATCTCTGTGTCCTATATTCAGGTCCTCTGCCCATCCTTTTATTGGATTTGTTTGTTGTTTTGGTGGTGAGTTGTGTAACTTCTTTATAAATTTTGGATGTTAACCCCTTATCAGATGTACCATTGCTAAGTATGTTCT